ACACACACACACACACACACACACACACAGACAGACATTAGATGGAGACTCATAAATCTAAGAGATTCACACAGCCGCACTTGCATGTGCGAGTATTTACAGACTCAGCTTCTCTGTGAGCAATCCATGTGACAGGAGATTGAAGTTAAAACTGAGCAGTGATTAGTCACCTTAAAGGGCCCCGGGAAAAAGAAGCGGGGCCAAAGAAGAATAGGGCTAAAGGTCAGGATTACTATGTAGAGCTCAGCCGGACCTTTTTTTAAGGGCTGAATAAAATGTCAGCATCCTCTGTAGGGCTGAACCACTGACGCAACAAATATAGTGTGTGACGCTAGATAATGGCCGAGATAAAACAGAGGAGGCCATTAAATATCTAATTTTCTTTTGTGGCTTAAAATACTTCAAAACCTGATGTATAAAACAAATTCAGCTGCCCGAACATCAGGGAGAAGATGTACTGTACTGAGGTCAGGCTACTTTAAGAAGTTGTGGTCTTTTGCTCCACTGTGCATGCATCCATGCATGGCTGCCTGACTGCCTCCAAACCGTGGTCTGATTGTTGGAGATACTCAAAAAGCAAATGGCACTACAGCGTAAAACATGCAAATGCATTCGCCCATTGGCAAAGTTTTAATAAATTATTCAAATCTGAAAGTTCATTTCTGTCGATGTTGACTAACAGTTGCATTTTTGTGTGTGTTTAGGATGCCTTGAATGCTGCATCAAATGCCTGGGTGGGATTCCATACCCATCCCTTATTGCCACCATCTTGCTGTATGCCGGTGTGGCTCTGTTCTGCGGCTGCGGACATGAGGCCCTTTCTGGCACTGTCACCATTCTGCAGAATTACTTTGAGGTGATGCGGAGCCCTGTGGATGCACTGGATGTGTTCACCATGTGAGTGGTAAAAGTGCAGTGACACTGAGTGTTGAGTAGATTATGAAGAGAACATTACAGTCTTAGGAATTGGCTATTTGCCCACAAATAGAAAACCATACATGCATGACATACTGTACTTGCACCACATTGCACCAGATCTCCACATTATTTTTACCTCTGAAACAATGGATTATTTGTACTGTCTATGTCACAAAGGGCGTGGTCCCACATACACATGTAAATCTAATATTGCAGGTCAAACTTCACCAAAGTTGAACTATGACATTATTGGCTCCACAAATCTCTGTTTCCTAGCAGTTTCTTAATGTGTAATATGGTCTGGTCTGGCAATTTTTCAGTGGTTCTCTATTCATTCTCCAGGATTGACATCATAAAGTACGTGATCTATGGCATTGCCTCAGCTTTCTTCGTCTATGGCATCCTGCTGATGGTGGAGGGCTTCTTCACCAGTGGAGCCATTAAAGACCTGTATGGAGACTTCAAGATCACCACCTGTGGACGCTGTGTCAGCGCTTGGGTATATATATATAATATAACATTTTAGTGCTTGTGAAATTTAGCTAAGCTTAGATTTTGGTTGTGATGCAACTATAGACTGTATAAAAAATGGTTATATACTGTGGGTTTTGAGAAAGTCTGTTTTAATAGATGTCTATGATAAATTTACTCTACTGTAAACTCTATGTACGTGGGCATGCACTGTCCTCAAACCAAGATGGCTCTGGTCAAACTACTGAACTTGAGGCTTTAAAACAACATCACAGAGGGTGCTTGTAATTTCGATTCATATACTTGATTTCCCCTTTCCTTTTGTTTTTTATTTATCTATTTATCTATGTATCTACTTGTGTCCGACCATATGACTGTATTGAAGTAGACCGTGTAGCCTTCTGCTGCTGGAATCACATGGAAATCTAAATGTCAGGTAGTTTCCCGGGGGGAGGGGGGGGGTTCCCTTGAAAAAGATTGAGAATGTGAAGGTTTCTGTAGGTCACACATTTTGCAGTCACAGTGACACTTTCACGCATCTCTGTTGCAGTTATATTGAAAAGGGTTAAACAGGGTTACATTCAATGTTCCTCAAATGTTAAGGTTTACTCATTTAGTTTACATGGGATCTAAGCAAGCATGGCAGTAAAACCAATGGCAATGGTTCTGTGTCTTAAAAACAATTGTTGATTTGCATAAATTCTAATAACAAGTGCTCTAAATTGCTTTTATTAAAAACATCAGTCAATGTATTTTATTATACTGTTGACAACAATAAAAAAATTAGGAGCACTCTCACACGGAGCAAATCACAGAGCTGAGAGCTATCCTAACAGGATTATGGCTGGAATATAATTGCTCAGCCAATCTGAGGCTCCACATGGAGGCAAAGGATGTAAGCCACGCTATGGTATTTGTGATGGATGAGTTCATTAAGTTAGTGTGGGTTAATCCGGTGCCAATGGAAATATCCAAACCATTATAAACTGTCAGAAATGGGTAAATGTAGCAGACTAGGAACACCTTGTAACATATCACAGATTTACGTCAATCAAATTGTAAACCTCAAGACCTGGAACCAAACCCACATTGTAGTGGAAGTAGTAAAAGTGAATCAGGAAACAGAAAACCTCAGTCTAATCCTCAATCATTTAATCTTACAGATTAAAGCCTTGATTTACAGTGTCTCAATGTGATCATTTTTCCTCTGCTGCTCTTTCAGTTCATCATGCTGACATACATCTTCATGCTGGCTTGGCTCGGAGTCACTGCTTTTACCTCCCTCCCAGTCTTTATATACTTTAACATCTGGAACATCTGCCAAAACGCTACCGTGCTGGAAGGGGCCACACTCTGCCTGGACCCACGCCAGTATGGTAAGAATGGATATTCTGTCTCCATGTCTTCCCTCATACAACCGCTCAGATCTCAGTTTGCTCTGATCTCTATGGCCCCAACTGCTGAATGTTGCGCTGCCTCAACTGCTGCTTTTATTTCAACGTCTTGGAGAATATGTAGTACATGGCCCTTTGTGTTTCTACAAAAACTGTGGTTAAATAATGCATATATCAAACACAGGGACTTAATAAACTAAGATACATTTCACACTTAATTTGTTTTATTTTATGTGTACAAAGTAACCTTAATAAATAACTCCCTTTCAAAATAAAATATCACAAAGGGTCCAATTTGAGGGTGATGCTCCCTATTTCATCCTCAAATTATTGTCCTGTAAACTTTAATGATGCAAAATAAAATTGTATTAAAGCTGCTCCATAACAGTCCATCATATCACAAGCTTATATGGCAATGCTCATTATTTTTAATTACTGTCACCTCTTCCACTCCATTAGCCACCAGCTACCATTAATACTGCCTCTGTGTCAACAACTATTTGTGCTGCCACCATCACATTAGAGGCACACAGTATTGTAATGGTCTGTTGGTACATATGAGCCTCTCAACCCCCTTTGCACCTATTTTCTGTCAAATTTTTATTGCATAGCACTTAACATTGTTGTATTTATATATTGATGTTTAACATGACGTTTTTCAGGCATTGTGCCAATCGCTGAGGCGAAAACCGTGTGTGCTGGATCGGAGAAATTCTACAAGATGTGCGAATCTAATGAGGTGAGATAAAATCAACTTTAAGTAATCAACATTGTTGATAATCAGTTTATATAAATATATGAAAAATCATTCATTGATAAGCATTATCAGCCTTCCAGAGGATCTGAGAGGAGCGGAAAATGTTTTTTTTAAGTATAAATTAAGAACCCACCTATTTAGTCTGGCTTTTATGTAGTGTTTTATAATTTAATGGTTTTATTATTAATATGTTATTATTATTCATCTTTTTCTAATCTATTTTCTTTTACTACATTTTTAGTGTTGATTATATAAATGTGTTACGATTTTAATTGTTTTGTTGTCGTTTTTTCTATTATCGATTGCTTATGTATTCATAACACTCTAAATCTGTATGGTTACAACTAATGTTTCATTCTGTTTGAACCTTTAACAGGTGCCTTGACATGTAGGTGTTTGATCGGCGGAGATGTGTGCAGTGAAGATTTAATATGTGATTTGTTTTTGCTACAGCTCGACATGACGTTCCACTTGTTCATCTGTGCCCTCGCTGGAGCAGGAGCTGCTGTTATTGCTATGGTGAGACACCTATAAAAGCTGCAACTCTCTCTCGAGGGATGCGACTAAATATCTCTTAAATCAAGCAGAGTTTTTGCACCAACGAATGCAGCATGTCACATTCTTCACAAAGATGATTTCCCTTCATTGTTAGCAGATAATTTCCGCAGTGGTAGGAGTGAACTGTTTTTGAAAAAAGAGGGTAACTGAGGGGAGATGCTGTAGCTGGGAAAATAGCTGTGTTTTGTTGTGGCTGCTTCCTACTTGGCCTGCGTCGTGCTCGCCTGTGAGAGAATAGCTGCAGATAGGATGGAAGGCATTTTGGCGCAGTGGAAAAGACAGGGTTTGTCTTCCTCCCTCTTTCGGAGGCGCCAGACATGTCAATGTGTTGTCATGGAAACAGGGAGAAGAAAGGTTCAAAAATTGTTGCAAACATCGCTTGGTAATTTGCGAAGAGCCATTTTCTGAGAAAACAGAGAGTATTTCACAGTCAGGTATAATGGTGCAAATTATAGCTGGACAATAACATCCATAACGGTTGTTTGTTTTACCAGCAAATGGCGGCAAAAAAACATCACAACAGATAAACTGAAAGCTTTGATGTCACAAACTCAATCAGTGCTAAAAAAAAAACCAAGAAAAACAAATATTTGTATTTGTTGTGATAGAATCTCAGTTGAATAATTATTTGTCTGACTGCAGACATCAGACAGCGTCTCACAAAGAGAAGCTGTGTTTCAACCTCAGTCATTAAAGCACAATACATTCATTATAGCCTTAGCTGCCATGGTAACAAGCCCAAGACCACATTTAGCATTATACTGCCACCTGCTGGACCACTGGGAACATAATCTTTAATTTAAGCTTTGAAATCTGTTAATTGAATTTCAGATTAATATGCAACTTCTCTAGCTGTTACAGTCATTAAACTGTATTAGCTTCTACCCTGAAAGTGGCAATGTTTCACACTTCCTAACTTTCCTCACAGATCCACTACTTGATGGTGCTGTCCGCCAACTGGGCCTACGTGAAGGACGCCTGCCGAATGCAGAAGTATGAGGACATCAAGTCGAAGGAGGAGCAGGAGCTTCATGACATCCACTCCACTCGCTCCAAGGAGCGTCTCAACGCCTACACATAAAGACCAGCGGGAGGCCTGGCCCTGACCCACTCCGACCTCTCTCTCTCCCTCCCTCCCTCTCTCTCTCTCTCTCCAGTTTAAGTATGCCAGTTGTTCTTGAAGAATCAAAACCTTCCTCTCCCTCTCTCTCTCCCTCCCTCCCTCTCTCTCTCTCTCTCTCCTCTTCCTCTCTCTGTCTCTCTCTGTCTCTCTACCATCCCCTCCCGAGGGGGGGCGGATGGCGCCTAGGGCCCTCACCACCGCTGATGTCACTGGTGCGTCATATGACAATGTGGTCTGGGGGGGAAACGTCACTCAAACTCTCCAGTCACAAACAGCATTTCAGATGAAACAAGCCCCTTTACCTCTCTCATGGATGGTGTTACAATTATCGTTATGGCAGTTATACTATTCTTGAATACAAGTTGTTTAGTGCTGATAGTAGTTTTAGTGTAGTATGTAGAATCAGAAGTAGCAGTAGTATTTCTCCTTTTTTTTACTTTGAATAATTTTGCGTATTATTGTTTTATTTTTCTTTCGAGTTTTAATTTGATGCGACAAAGTGTCATTTTGCTCTCATGCATTATTTATTTTTTGCTGATTTCTGAGGGGGGTCAACAGGGGCTTAAAAAGGTTTTCAAGCACATTTCTCATGTCGTGTGTGTGTGTGTGTGTGCGGAGATTTCATCTTCAAAAACTATGTACTGTAACGGGTGGTTAGTTTTGGAAATATTTTTAAACTCACAATGCAACTATAGGAAGCAGCATAAGCCTTTGTCATACCAGTATTCCCAGGGATGAAAACCACTTTCACGTGAAAGTAATTAAATCTGTTTTTCTATTTGAAGTTACACAGTAGCAAGAAGACACAAAAACCAAATCGTTAGAATAAAACAAATATTGCTAGACGTGCCAAGCCTGTTAAACAGGAAACATAAGTTTGACAAATATCAAAGATGGGGATTATTCAATTAAATAGAAATTATGGCTTATTTTATAATAATCCTGCCATTTTAAATGTATTTTAGGACTGTGAATGATTCCATTGTCTTTGAATCACGAGCCACAAAAAGCACATGTAAACATGCTTTCATGACCACTTTTTTAATTTCTTAAAAGTGGAACTTTATAAATATGAAACTCCGGTTTAGGCAGAACTCTGCACTGTAAATACTGATATATCAAAGCATACCTATATGTTAAGCACTGACATTAAGGGGCAATTCGGGTGAGAAGAAGAGGTCACTGTACGTCCACTTTTAGTCTCAACCGAAAAATAAACCCTGACGGTAAAGTGTTGTTGGTGTGATGGCACTCTCCTTGGTGGAATTATCAGATGTCAGAAAGTGTGTGTCACAGTAATTTTGTTCATGACAGTAACTGTATTGCTTACACATCTCAATGCCATACAACTACAAACTGTCAGTTCATCAACTGGCAAAGTTTGTTTTGTCAGTATTTCTAAAAAAGCTAGTTTCATGCACTTATTTGACCATTTCTGTGCTCTATCTCTAGATGTAAGCGCATTGATGTTCAACTCAAAGTTGGATAACTGTACTGTTAGTAAAGACTGTGAATTTAGATGTTTCTTGTGGCATGGACATGCATTAATATAGTCTTATTGACTCAAAAGTTACTTTACTTCACTTCTTTATTTTGACGATTATGACTGTCTTGCTGGATCAACCCTTTGTTTATATGTGCAGTACTAAACCCCCCCCCCCCACGCTTACCGCATTATGCTACTGATAATAGAGACTGTAGTCTTTGATTTGTGTCTGTTTAGTTTGTGATGAGCTCTCAACCATGTCTTAAACTAATACCGACATTGCTTACTCTGTAGTGATCTGAAAAAAAATGCTCTCTGCTTTTTCCTTGTATTAGTCTTTTGTACTTTCACTACGAATGCTTCTAGTAGCAGGCTTTAAATTGAATCTGTTTTGTACATTCATGTGCCAACAGCTTGAGGTGGCTTATTTGACCTGTATGATCAAATTTGCTTGCATAAATAAAACTCACTTGTGTACTTGTTAATAAGTACTTAATGTCTCTTGTGTCCATTTTTGTTTCAATGTCACTTATTCCCTCTGATAGTGTTGTACAATGTCAATCAATCAAACTTTATTTGTACAGCACATTTCATACATGTTCGTATAGTGCAAAGTGTTTGCAGAATGGCATATAAGTGAAAAATAAGACAAAACAAATACAAGTTCAGAGAGAATTAAACACCTTAAATAATATAAATAATATAATATAAATTAAATAATAAATTTGAAATCTCTAATAATATTGTAAAAAAAAGATAGGAGCCAAAACAAAAACAAATAAAAACATAATATTAACAGAGTCAGACTTTTGTGATCCACTTAAAAACAGCACTCAGATCTGGTCGTACCAACATTGATGGCATCTAGATGTGTCCTGATGTCATGGACTACTTTTATGAGGCACCACGTTATTGTTATTAACTGTGGTCAGGCAGGATTAAATTGCAGAAGATCACTATTTTAAAAGAAAACGTGAAAATGTATGTTTATCAGTAACTACCTCATACCACTAGATGGCTCCCTTTCCTCTTACTCATTCAAAATAGAGTTAGCCTTGACTAGCAGTGAACATGAAGTCCACTATTATTAAAAAAAAATTTACTCATGATTAAGCACTTTCACACTTTTAAGCTAGTTTAATTAAAATGTATCGTTTTACCTGCATTAGACTTTTATTTCATTTTTGGTTTTTCATTCTACAATAGTGAGTTGAATGTCAACTTATTTTTCCTGATATATTTACAAGTAAGACTTGAGCCAAGGATCAGCTGATTCAAATGTGGGTGACAGGTATGACGTTGTCACCAACTATGACATCAAGACAGAGGACTGTTATTCCAGAGCTAAACAGATGTGTGCAGAAAATATGAAAGAGAGTTTGGCCCCTACCCCAAACCACTGGTCTGCACCCAGTCAGGTTATAAATCACATCCAAGATTACACTTTGCACCCTGGTGCCAGACAGAGCTCGCTCACACATCTTACATATGGCCTCTAGCTCAATAATACATTTACATTTAAGGAATTTCTTCAGAAGCAGAGGAACTTACATCAGAATGGAAGAAAAACAGTCTGCTCCTTTTCACAAGAAAGCTTACAACAATGGGTCAAAACCACATTACCTATCATTTGGAATGAAAGGTGGTTGGATATAACTTGACAAAGCTGATCCTAGCTTTGTTTTAAAATGTGTCCCGCAATAAATTTGGCAGAGGAGCATGGAGATTTAGCAAAACCTAGAAAACACATTGGTGTGGTTGGGAAGTGAATGGCTTAACCAGAGGCATGGCCTGATCACGTGAGGAGAAACCTCCGGAATTAGCCGATTAGCTCCATGTCCATGCGACTGGCCCTGCACTGCTGTCTACCTGTAGCTTGCGTGACCCAGCCAAACCCAAGAAATCCTCTACTAATCCCCCACCCCTTCCCCCACACACACCGTCAATCTGACAGGTCACCTATACTGTAATTAGTTCTTCCAAGCCTGTGTACCGTTGCTTCTGATGGACTTTGAAAGCTCTTTTCACTATTTTCCACTTGTTATTTTTCTTGGTTTTGTTCTTTTTGGGAGGGATAATTCTCCAGGCTCTTAATGAATCCCGATGTCTTTTCTCCTGATCTCTCCTCAATGTGAGAATTTGGGGTAAAACCATGCGTCAACTTTTCTGTGTGCACATATTCCTATGCTGCCTTGGTATGGCTCAGCCTTTCTGTCCATCGCAGTGCACCTGTGTCTTCCATGGACGTACTGATGGAATAGGAACCAGGTAAAAAGTGCATTTAACTTATACTTGTTGTCTTTTGTGAATTTGGAAAGTTATTGGTTTGTCTTTTTAGGTCACCTTTGCTATACCTTCACCCACAAAATAAACAAATATATGGTCCTATACAGGTCCTACTACATTTTCACCTTACTGTAAAGTTAGCTTATTTTGCACTGTTAACCTATTTGAATGAGCACAAGAAAGAGTACCATAGCTCTAAGACAGCCTGGTATGTGATCCATGTTAAATCAAGGAAAGTATATTCACATGTTGAATCAGATGCACAAAGCTGCTAATGTTATCATTAGAAGCCATAAGGCCTCCATTGAGGTGTTAAACACTTTATAATTTGGATGAGCAACAATTAACTAAAACGCTGAGCCATCCATTGTACTGTTAAACCAGCATTAAGTAAAATAATCAGCTAAGATTAAGGTATCTCACGGACACTAAAAATAAAAGCAAGTCTATATCTAAAATCCACCACAGTGTGATTTGTACAGGATGCCCTGACCTGTATTGGCATAATGTACGTTCTATGGCATGGTACCAATCCACTTATCCCAGAGAAAGATCTAATTGCCCCCTGCATGATTAGTCATTTTAGCACTGAACCCTATGCCACGATGCATCTCTCTTCCACGAACAAGTTAGACAATAGAAACAAAGAAAGTGTGTCAATTGAAGTCTACAGTCATGGCGAGAAGCTAAAAGACATACCTCGTTTTTTTTTATCCTTGTAATCATGTAATGTATGCTAATGATTAATGCTAATGTAAATATAATTAAATCATTCTCTTGTCTATTTATCCATGACTATAAGGAATTCCAGATATTCCTTCTCCTGAAGTGAGGTGCATCCACATAATCACTCATTATTTATGATGACAGTGATAAGCTCTGACCTTGCCATCTAGGAAGTGGCCTTGGACTACAGCCGTGTCAGAAACAGCATCCCACATCACAACAGAGAGTCTGGATGAATGTATGGAGGGATGGATGGATAAACTAATGGATGGATATAGATAAATACTAATAACCTTGTAGATTGATCATTTCAAATATTCATGTTCTGGCATCACTTGCTTTCCCACTGGAAAATGGGTTGAAGAACATTTAGACTTTGTAAAACAGTTTTGTTATCTATCCATATATTTGAACAGTTAATTAATTTATCTTTTGTTCTTAGATCTGTGCTCTGCAATGACCCAGACATGTCTGATATCCCTGTCAACGTTCCAGTGGATACAGTTAAACTTCGTATTGAGAAAACCGCTGTACGCCGAGTCCCAACAGAAGCTTTTTACTACTTGGCAGAGCTACGGTACCTGTGGATTACTTACAATTCCATAACCTCGGTGGATACTGGAAGTTTCTACAACCTCAAAGTGCTCCACGAACTCAGGCTGGATGGAAATATGATCTCCATGTTCCCCTGGGAGTCTCTAAAAGAGATGCCAAGGCTGCGAACACTGGATCTGCACAACAATAGACTCACCACTGTTCCCACTGAGGCTATCCCCTACCTCCTCAACATTACCTACTTAGATCTATCCAGCAACAAATTAACAACCCTGCCCTCTGACCTCATGGATATCTGGCCTCCCTTCAACGGAGCACCCATTTCTACTAATTCCTCACAGAAAATCGTGTTAGGTAAGTAGAAAATACTCGGTTTTACAGGAAGTAAAAGCCAAGGCAGGACACTTTTGAGGTGAATTGTAATTACTTCATGAACTTAAGTCCATCACCTGCTAATCTAGACTGACTTGTTCTGACTGACTGAAACCTGCCTTGATAGTCACTGCCAGGACAGTTTAATACGCTTATTCAAAGCTGTGGCAGAGTTGACGCTTAATTTGTATTATAAATGTATTGTCCTAATTAATGTTGGATGTTTAACAAGGTACCTCTTGGCAATCCAATCTAGGTTTAAGTTGCAAGAGTACTGGATCCCATATGACTGTACAATTTGGTAAACATGCAGAACACAGTAGAGAACATTGTTTTCCGTAAAGTTTCTAAAGGCAAGATCATACCT